AGGCTAACAGTATAGTCTTGGGGTTAGCTACTTAATTAGTGGGGTCTTTGTTCTAATAGATCTTTTAGATAAGATCTTGAAATCAAATCTGGGTGGGGGGAAGGAGAGAGTTGGAGAGAGCTTGGAATCTTAGGTGAATCCGGTTACCATATTTTTAAACTACACTAATGGAAACAGAAGGACCTTGATTCCAAAAAGCCAAATCAACTTCATCTCTTAAATTAGTTTGTATATAATGAACTGTTTAATTTGGCCTCTGAAGTTGCTTCAAAGAACCCATTATGATGGCCAAGGACTAACCATGATTAAATTTCTCTCCAAGGAAAAAATGAAAGAATAGCTTATAATTTTTAGTCTTCATTCATTTTCTAAATCATAAGCAAAAATGTTTGCTAGGTAAATTGGTCATCTTTATTATTGTGGCTTTAACCTTTAATGCTTACATTGTTCTCTGAAACTCTTTGGTCTCAGACTGAAGCAGGAGGAAGCAGTGACTGAAGTAGATTTGATTTCCACTGAAACAAAAAGGTAGCAACAAGTCTCTGAGCTCCCTGAACTCTGAGCAAAATGCAGAATGACTCGGAGTACTGTGACCTAGCTTGAAAGGTTGTAATGGCCCTGATAGTGATTCATGTTTTCACAAAACAAAGGGCTATCTCTCTAACCTCACAGCCTAGGCAGGGCCTCCTCCACTGAGCTGCCTTTGATGATGAGACTCTGGCAGCCAGTCTAAGAGAGAGAAGGACATTCAGGGAATTTTAAGTGGTTTGGATCAGCAGTTGTCATATGCAATTGATGTTCATTTATATTTCACTAGCCAAAATCTAATGCTGCCGAAAATTGGGAAAAAAATATTTCAAATATTAATCAGGCCCAATCCTGCTTTAATGTAAAAAATGAGCTGTCTTACCTTTTTTTAATCCTAGAATCAGAGGCAGATTTAATATTTCCTGACAGTGCTTTAAATACTTTGCTGTTCAGACTTCAATGAATCCCCAATAATTATATCAGTTAAACCAGCTTGGTTTTTTCAAAGCTGTTTCAAGCTTAGGGTCCTTTTGAACTCCTTATCATGGCATTCAGCCTTTGATATCAGGTTTAATAGAGAAAGGGCCAATCCTCAGATGGACCACCACTTAGCTATTTAACCCATTTACCTATTAGTTGTTTATATTTTAATCTATCGACTCAGTGGTCTGTAATTTCCCAGCCTTCTCCTTTCCAGGAAATTTAATTGCACAGAATCTAGGAGCCATATGCTATTCCCAGGGGAGAGTTTCAAGGAAGACCTAGTGATTTCTAATTCCCAGAAGATCAAACAATAAAGACTTTAGTAGATTATCATTAAGAACTGACTTCACATTTAGTGTCTAACTAAGCCTTTTATAAGAGCTTTTCTTTCGTCATTTCTGTGAAGGAGGCTAAAAAATTATCTTTGTTTCACAGGTGGAGAAAGGGTAAGATATCAATATACCATTTTGGTGGGGTGGGGGGACGTGCCAGTTTCTTTAGGTGGAAATTTATTCTATCCATCCCTCACCCCTCCCTCAAGAAAGCCAACAATTGCAACACAGTTTTGGCTTCAGTCAGCCTGCTCATTCTCACTGAACCACACTCTCCCATAAAGTGCCATCTTCACGATATGTTGTACTGGCAATTGCAAGTTTTACCTCTGCAACCACTGAATAAACAAAAGAGCACGCACTTTCCTTCAGAAGAGTAGCCAAAGAGCACTAACCACACTTACAGAAAGTGAGTGGGTGAATCAGAAGGGCCTGCTCTGGGTGAGGGGCGAGCCTCACCTTCCTAAGGCACAGGGAAACGGTAGGGTAGGCCCTCCTCATTTCTTCACGTGACCACTGAATCCCTGCAGCAGAATCTTAGCTGCTTTGAAAGTTTTAAATATATCACTGCAAACCAGTGATCATATTTGGGAACTCTTTAATTGTTTCCCCCTGATTTCCCATGTAAAAATAAATGAGAAGTCAGAGAGTGGATGCTTATTAATAACAAAAGAAATTATCAAAAAGGTGAACATAAATAATAATGAGATCAGAGCATGGCTGCAAAATATGAAATACAGACGTTGCAGGGCCAAAATAGAGGGGAGGTGATAACACGTCAAGGTTTGCTTTGAACTTCTTAGTCAACATTTATTGTATTTTCTCTTAATTTTCTAAAACCATTTATTATTTTACATTTAACTATCTCATAAATCCAAACGTTCATCATTCGATGCTCTGCTATTTAACCCTACCTTACCCCATTTGCCTGCTCCTCCGAGATAAATATCAGCAACTAAATTTGCTATTTTCATTATAAGTAGGAAAAGTTTTGATGATATTATTAGGCTGACTTAGAAAAGGTTACCTCTTAAGACAACGGATTTGGACTGTTTGTAGAATTAATGGCAAACTGGGATGCTATAGGGGTAAGATTTTCAAATTTGGAAGTCAGAGGACATGAGGTCTAGTTCTGATTTTGCCCTTAATGTATATATAGGTCAGTTAGCTTATGCTACATCAGAGGGTGATCATTTGCCCTAACCCAAAATTTACACCCTATGTGTCATCAGCTAGCCTTCAAATTGGATAGCCCGCTCTCCAGAGGTGATTCCTAGCAAGGTTTTAGCTATCTTAGCTTTCTGACGATACCAGAGTATTCTTATTCAGCATTCTAGATGTTAAAAATGGGTTTTCACTGGTAAAAATTAATGACTTGTCAGTTAGGATTTACATATATCAGAAATGGGTATGACATAGTGAAAACAATGATAATAAAGCCATGTGGATTGTATGAAATATTCAAGAGACCCCCATCCTGCTTGTATAAATAGGTTGACAATCTAGAAAACACTAGGCCTGTACCACTAGGAATATTGTTTCCTAGACTGTCCAGTGCCTGATGATGGCCTGATAGCTACTGTAAGGTTAACTGAATCCTGCCTTTAGAAGGGAGCCATATCTGCCTCAAGTTGAGCATTGCATACACCGGTCTAGTTAGATACCTAAAGGCTAAGAGCTGGAATTCCATCAAATTTACAGAATAGGTTATATGAGCTATTTTGTGTCTGCTTCCTAATAAATGTTTAAAATACATATTTATGTGTGGCCAAATTGGTCAGAGACTTACTCTCAATATAAATTGGTAAAGAGGTTATGAGGAGATTGTTATTCTATACCCATCTTTAATTATTGGTGGTTATCATTATCCCTAAAATAGTCTTCGCAGTATTACCCATTACTCTACACAGATCTCTCTTGAGCCCCATCCCAGGTATTCTTACTGTCACCCAGGTGCCTGTAGGCAATTAGGGGGCAATAAACTTGCAAATCTCCAGACTACAGACCCAGAAGAATCAATACATGCACAGGGCTCAATACATGCACAGGGCTCTCCTAGGTTAGCAGTCCCTTTAGACTGGATGGTTGGGTCTGACTAGTGCCTGGGTTTTGCTTTCAAGTTCCAGAAGAAGTTAGGATTTTTCCACTTCCCTCCTTGGAACTGAAGACCCTAGGGGAGCCCTGATCAATACTGTCTGCAGACTAAGCTTCTTCTGTGGGACCAAGGTCAAGCCTTTTGGTATTTGCCCATAACAGAGCACAGATATGGACATTCTAGGGGCATATCATAAAGAGAAGTGAGGATGGTGGTGATGATTATTGATAATACAATCTCCACATAATACATCTCCCATAATACATCTAGAGTTGGGCAATCTAAAGCTGGTGCAGGGCTTCAGTGATGCTTTCAAGGACCCAGAGTCTATCTTCTTGCTCTGTCATTATTGGTTCGTGTTTCTTGTCCTATGCTTTCAAAATGGCTATAGCAACTCTATATGTACAATGGAAAAGGAAATAGAGCAAAGGGCTTTCAAAAATAAGGTATTGTCTTTTTATTCTGGAAAGAAATATGTCTCTGGGGAATTTCACTTACATTGCATTGTCCAAAACTTGGTCGTTCCCTAGCTACAAGGGAGTTGGGAAAAAGAGTAATATTAACAGAGCATGTTACCACCCTAAACAAAACAAAATCCCATATTAAGGGAGAAGGGGAATGGATGTTGTCAGACAACAAGTAGTATTTACCATTACAACTAGTTACCAGTCATTTATCAGGTACTTCATAAAACTTACCATTAACATCTTTTAGTGACCTGCCCAAGAAAATGGCAGATCCATGATTTGAATCCAGGTCAAGCTGATTAATAACAATAATAATAATTAACATTGGTGAAATGCTTGTCATGTGTTGGATATTCCTTTAGGTGCTTTATGTGCATTGACTCATTTCCTTTTCATAGAAATCCTCTGAAAAAGGTGTTTTTATTGTCCTCATTTAGCTGATGAGAAAATCAAGTGTTAGAGAACTTAAGGAACTTTTGTAGAGTCACACAAGCTATAAGAAGTGAAGCTCAAGTTTGAACCCCTTTCTGTGTGACTCCTTAGCTCTTGACCATTCTACTGCACAGCTTCTGCAAAACCCACTTGCTCAAACTGTGTACAGTGCCATAATCTTACAGGGATTGTAGAGGCATGCTGCCCAATGGTTAAATACTAGTAAAGTAGCTACTCAGTACTCCAACATAGAAGGATTAAAGAGAGGAAGAGCTTGAGAATCAAAACTGAAGATAGAAGAAACAGCAAGAAAAATCAGTCAGGTCCAAGCTGGTGTTTAACCGTGTGCCAGAATATGCTCTTAATGATTTGTCTTGATATAAAGGGTCTCTTTCTCTACATTGGTGTATATTCTTGACACCTATCACAAAAGATTGCAATTGTTTGTTGCCTACTCAATGATTGTCTCCCATTCTTTCCCAACAGAACCCCCATTTTGCTTAGGGCAACATTAGGTTCGGTTAAAATGACTCACTTCCACAGACTCCCTTGCCTCTATGGGGGCTTTTGACACAAGACTGACCAATGACAGTATAAATAAGTGTAGTCTTTTGGTGAGGACCTGCTGTAAGTTACTATTTATTGTTGAAAAGAGACAAGCTCACACTCACTTTGGCATATGTGCTAAAATTGGAATCATACAGAGAAGATTAGCATGACACTTGTACAGGATGGCACATATATTTGTGAAGCCTTTTGTATTTTGCACAGTTTCCAGAGGTCATTTGATACCTCACTCGTTAATACCAAGGAAACAATATGAGTCAAATCACAACATGTGGCATCCAATATTGAAACTGTCATTTCCCCAAAGGAAAGAGAGGGAGAGAACGACCAACTGGTTTATTTACATGCCTTTTATTCATTCATTTATTTTCTTTTGGCCTGGAATGCAATTGTGATGTCCAGTGGGTCAGCAGCCATATTATGAACATGAAGAGCATAAACATTATAGCCTCAGACTAAGGGTGGCACAGTGGAAAGACAAGCAACTGCTTAACTACTGAGTCCCTGATAGCCTTGTAGAGCCTCCATACCAACCTAAATTTGTCTATCTCTGCGTTTGTGATGGCTTACAAAAATAAATCCTATTGCTCTAGCTGGTATGGCTCAATGGATTGAGTGGCAGCCTGTGAACCAGAGGGTCACTGATTCAATTCCCAGTGTAGGGTACATGCCTGGGTTGGGGGCCAGGTCCCCCAGTAGGGTGTGCACAAAAGGCAATCACACATTGATGTTTCCCTCTCTTTCTCCCTCTCATCCCCTCTCTAAAAACAAATAAAATAAAATAAAATGAAATTCTATATAGTTAAGTCACTGTAGTTGTTTTGTTACTGTCGTTGTCACAAGAAGCTTAAAATAACACCTACTGATAACAATGGCGACACTATCCTCCCCTTCTATCAGGTTTATTCTTAGTTTACTGCCAAGGTTATCTTCATATGATTGTCACTGCCCAAGTTCCCACTGCATGGGTGACTAGGTATGATGCTAATTAGTCTAAAAGGAGTGGGCTTATGGCCCTAGTACCTTTCACTAAAGAAGGCCTCGGGGCAGTATGATGATGTTGTACAAAGAACATAGGATTTGGCAAATCTACTGTGCATTACAATTTTAACTCGCCCACTCTAAGCTTTAACTTTCTTATCTCTACAACGAAGACTATAGCCCTGGCTGGTATGGCTCAGTGGATTGAGCGCTGGCCTGCAAACCAAGGGGTCTCCAGTTCGATTCCCAGATCAGGGCATATGTCTGGGTTGTGGGCCAGGTCCCCAGTAGGGGACATGTGAGAGCCAACCACACATTGATGTTTCTCTCCCTCTCTTTCTTCCTCCCTTCTCCTTTCTCTAAAAGTAAATAAATCAATAAAACCTTTAAAAAAATAAAATGAAGACTATAATATCTACTTAAATATTTACTGAGAAGTACGTGAAATGCCTAAATGAAGTGGTATATGTGTGTGTATATATATATTTTTCTTTATTATGAATTCTTCTCTCTTACCAACACAAATGGAACAAATTACCTCACCCTTCCCCAATCCTTCCTCAGTGCACTTCTCAGTCTTCTTGTTATTATTTCCCTTGGAAAAACATCTCCCCTGGCATTTGTCCATGGTTTTCACTGTATTTAGATTTTGTGTGGTTAAAGTGTTGGTGGGGAATGAGCTCTGGCAAGCTAGATTGGTTACAGTGTCATCCAGATACGTCAAGGTTGCAGGTTCAATCCCTGGTCAGGGCACGTACAAGAAGCAGCCAATCAATGCATAAGTAAGTGGAACAACAAATTGCTATCCTCTTTCTCTGTCTAGAAATCAATAAATAAATTTTTAAAAATTAAATGAAACAGTAGGGAAGAAAGTGGGAAGAAGAAAAAGATTCATAGAGTATGGCCCTAGGCATGAATGACTCTGCTCTAAGGCAGAAGGGAACTTAAAGAAGAGAGCAGATAAACATCTTTCCCCTTCTTTAGGACTTCCATTTTTCCCCATATGAAAAAGGGAACCAAGTTTGTGACCATGTCTTCAGCCTCACATTGCTAAGTATAATGGCATTTTTAATTAGGGTTTCCTGAAGAGCTAAGTCTTCTGAGATGCGCTTTTGGAATGAAGTCATAATCACCTATAGTACATATTTATAATACACACACACATATATAACACATACATATTTATATATAATATTAGACTCTGTTACTATGGAAACTATTACAGTGCTAACAAATTAAGCATTGTGACACCACAGTAATAAGAAAAAAAGAAATTCAAATGAAACACCAAGCATTTCTTTAAGCACAAATAGCTTTAGTAATTAAATACATGGAAACAATGCAGAAAACCACAAATTAATATTTAGAAGCCTTTTCCAGTATGAAAATTGGCTTTGGTGTTGTTTTCACTTTTCCATTGCATCACATTATACATCTTTATAAATTAAGTTTGGCATTAGGTTTACAAGAATAGATCTGTTAAATCGGATTTCTCACACACCTAAAAGTTCAGCTCTCATTCTAAACAGTTACACTTTCTATAACCAGTGAGAAAGAATTTATGGTTCTTTTTATTCATCAAAAAGAGGACTTTTTAAAAAGAAAGCTCAGATGTGAAGTTGGTCTTACATCCCTTGTTTCATTCAGACAACATGTAGAACTACCCCTGGGGTTTTGAATATATTAACATCCTTTCACAATTAACCCTAATGGGACAAGTGTAAGATTTTTTCCAAGCAGATATATTCAAAGCTGAAAAATACATATGTTTAAATAGATCTCATTATATCAGCTACACCAAATCTCTCCTCTTTATATACAGAGGATTGTACCTCTTTCCACTGTCATGCAACATTAAAATAGGAAGGCATACACAAGGATGACATGGATTTGACAAAAAATTAATGATTTGTACATCACTTTAATGCTTCAAATCTGCAATTCATGTATGCTAATTAGCTCATAATGGGCTGTTGAAGAACAGAACTGTCACCCTGCTGCTTCACAGGTTTCTGGAAGCTCCGATTCGGCACAGGCTTGCCGGTTGGCTGCTGGATTCTGGGCTGTAACACGGCAGATCTATGATAGCACCCCCCCAACCCCCCCCACACAATTGTTTCCTGGCTGTGGTGCTTTAATCTATCAGAGTTATGATGGCATATCTCAAATAAGTGGTTCCTGGGTGCCGCAATACATACTGGGAGCAATAGCATAGTATCACTATATCTAAATGATTGATTTCTGGATTTTAGGCTGTCAGGCTATACCTCAGAGGGCAGCTGTCAGCTTTCTAAATGTATGAAGTTGTATTATGCAGCACATTTGGAAAATGTATGTACAATTTTTTTAAATTTACAGATAAAAAGGGCTGTAAACCTTGGAGAGAGAAAACAAAGGGGACTAAAAAGATCAGGTATTTTTTCTTACTGTGATATCAGGTCTGTCTCCCCAATGCAAGGAAAGCAGCTACCAGTCCCTTTTGTGGGGGGTTGGGGGTGTCTTTGTGCCGCCTTGGTGGAAACAAAGACTGTCACAACACAGGACAGTGTAAGGCTGAACTGCTACACAAACCAAAGGAAAACATCAGGGCTGGCTGGAAGCTGCAAGATTTGAAAACAAGTTGCTCTATTTTTGCTGGAGAGAAAACTGATTTTCCCTGATCTCATGAGAGAGGTTTCACCCAAGGTGATTCTCACATCACATGGGTTGATCGGTAAACCCAACTGCTGTCTGTGTCCAAATTTGTTTTCAGATTTGAAATATCAGTCAGGTTCCTAATTGCTGAAATTTTGTCTTCAAGACTCCAAAATGAAGATCTATTTAATTAAAATTTATTTTTTCCACTGGAAAAGATGAACTAGAAACCATAATGGTAGAACTGAGCCCAGTCAGGGAAATAAAATACCTCAAATGCAGTTGAGCTAATAAGGGATTTTAGATAATAAAAAATAGACACTTTATAATATATAAAATAATAATACAATGCATTAAGAAGGAGATTAAAAGTGATCAAGTTAATAAGATTTTGTTTGTTTGTTAGAGCTTTGTTTATTAGAGCTTTAAGGCCTTTATGCAAACATAGAGGGAAAAATGTACTAGTAAGAAGAGGTGTTTAATAAATGTTGAATGAAGGATGTTCAAATAATGCTGTGATTCCTGGGAGACATAAAATGATATTCCAACTTAGAGGTTACACATGGCTCTCCAGTCAGCAACAGCAAAATGCATGCCAAAAGTAACAATTATGTTTTATTTTCATCAGACATCTGAATAATACTTTCTTGTGAAAGAAACCAAACCACAGATTTGAAGCTCTTCCAATGGTTGGGTTATTCCAATTTGCAGATCTAAAGTTGTGTTTTGGTAAACATTTATGAGTGAGATGGTTGGGTTATTTAATAGATGCATACTTAGCTTTTGGAAAAACTGTTAACTGTTTTCTAAAGAAGTTGTACCGTTTTACGTGCCCCCCCACCCAACAGTTTCCACACCCTCCCCAATACTTGGCATGGCCAGTCTTTTGAACTTGAGACATTCTTGTAGTTATGTAGTTATATCTTCCTGTGGTTTTGATTTGCATTTTCCTCATGACTACCGATGTTCATGCATCTTTTCATGTTCTGTGGTGTCTGTATACCTTCTTTGGTGAAGTGACTGTTCAAACCTTTGACCATGTTTTACTTGGGTTGGTTTTTTGATTTTAGTATCAAGTTTTGAGAGTTCTTTGTATACTCCGAATTCAGTTTTTTTGGGAGGGGTATATAATTAGCAAGTATTTTCTCCTAGTCTGAGTTTTCTTTTTTCATTCTCTTAGCACTAGTTTTTTTGAAGAGCAGAAGTTCTTCATTTTGATGAGGTCATATATATTACAGGTAATACATAATCTTTAGGTCTCATCTTTTCCTGATCAATTTCATAGTTTATTTTATTGTCTTCTAAAAAAAAAACAAACCCAGATTTTGTTTTCATCAATTTTTACCCATTGTTTTTCTATTTCATTAATTTTTATTTCCTGGCCTTTATTATTTCTTTTTAATATTTGTTTATTATACATTTCATTTGCTCTTTATTTCCTATCTCATAAAGTTGAATGCTGAGTTAATTTATTTTAAAGTAAAGAGAAATGAAACCATATGTGCATGTGAAGATTGTCATACAAATATTCATAGTAAAAACCTGGAAACTACTCAGATGCTCATCAACAGGTGAATAAATACA